TGTTCAAGGTCTGGCGCACAGACTTTCTGTATCCCTCTCCTCGTCTCTGCTTCTCTCATGAAGCTGTGCAATGAACTCCAGGTCGAAATCGTCATTCGTTATTGTTGTGTTGTATGGCCCACTCCTGTGGACAGAGGGCACGCCAGCTCGAAACAGCGCAACAGCCTTCTCAACAACAAATACGGCACGGTCCAGCTTGAAGATCGAAAAACTCATGAATGTATCGCGACTGCGGACAGATGTTGCGATGTCCTGCTTTATAGAGACCAATTTTCCTATCTGCTCCGCCGCTCTGGTGGTCTTTGTTGTCTGCTCAATTTCACATTGCAGAACCATCTCTGCAAACGCCAATTGTTGCAGGGTCACGCCAAGGTTTACGCCGTCCCTTCTCATCTGGAAAACCTTGGTGAGTGTCGTCTTAAAGGTTGGGGCGCCCCAAGGATCGTTGCCGCTCCGTCTCCACGTTTTGTTCTCCTTCATCTCTGCTTGCATCTTGTTGCGAGTAGGGAGCTGGTGATCTGTTTGTTGCGATCGTACAAGCGGGATCCCTTTTTTAACCCAGAATCAATGTTTTTGTTGCCATATTATCTCTCCACGCACGGTTGTCATCATTCTGTTGCACTCCCTTATGACTACTCGAATCCCGCACTCCGCTACGTGTGATCGCTTCCTCAGCGTTCTCGCCTATCAGTTTGGCCGTTGTTTGCTGCACCATGAAAAATTCATCCTCTGTTGGGTACAGAGTTGCGTCCTTTGCTGCTGAGAACGCAAAGGCTTTTGCGACCGCCCTGAACAGTCTGTCCTTCATTTTCTTCGAGAATACACCGCTTTCTTTATTGCCTTGTTGTTGTCCTCCCTGCTCGCGCACACTTTTCTTTGCGAGTTCGTGCCATCTGTTGGAAGACACACATTACAACGCACATAATAATATTAAGAACTCCGCATTTCGCATCCATTTTCGCACCTGCCAAATTCGACAGCCCGTTTCAACTGTAAGTTCATTACAGCGACATCCTCGCAAAAAGGAAATGTCATCACTTTGCGTCGTCACCACGTAATCGTTGTGCAAGAGGAGCAACTTCAGCATATTTTGTTTACCATTTTTAACTGCGTTGTTGTGCCTCACTAGTTGTCTGTCAATGGAGGGCGCGTCGGTTGCGCCTCCCTCGCCGCCACTTTCGGGTTCCCTCGTGCGTCGCATTCTACCGGGAGATGGGGAACTCCCTCTTCCGTCCGCGCTTCTGTCATCTTCGTCTGCCTCGTCTTCGCCTGCCTCGAGCCGTCGCTGCTCATGCCGTCCTCGTCATCAGCGTCGTGAGTGTCGCGAGAATGTGCGTCGGAAGTTAGACTGTCATCTCTCTCGTCACTTATTGCCTCGTTCTCCTCCCCGTCAGACTTTTCTGATATGGACTGGTCGTGTTCCTCTTCTGCTTCCTCTCGGGCCGCGCTGTGCACATCGTCCGAGACTTTCCGATCGATCATCTCCACCATTTTGTCCTTTTTGTACGTGATTCTCTTCTTTGTCCTGTGGTGCACCTTTGACATTCCGTCTTCCCGCGACCTCTTCTCGGGGGCATTGGGTGGAAGGTTCTTGACGCCGCTGACACGGTTCCGTGGGGCAGGAGTCGCACGGTTCAGCTTTGAAATCCCCCTCTGACTTGATGGGAGAGAAACTTTTGATCCGTTTTTGCAGCTGCTGGTCCACTCCGTTTTTGCATTCTGGGATCTGCTTCTGCGATGCTCTCTCCTTTCCTTTTTCTTATCAGCCTTGCATTTCTTCCTCCCCTTGTCCTTCTTTCCCACGCTCTTCAAAGACCTGCACAGATCCTCGTATTTTGGCTTTGGAGCCATGACTCTTTTTTCCCCACATACATCAAAGTGGAATACGAACAACAACTGCGTCAGCAATGTCGTGCATCGATCCATACAACCCTGAAGTGTAAAGGTCGCATTGTGTGAGAGAGAGAGAGAGAGAGAGAGAGAGAGAGAGAGAGAGAAAAAGACACAACCAAGATTTTATTGTTGATACAGCGACGTCATTTAAGTTACCAACCTCTTTGTGCGTCTAAATGACTGTATCCGTATTGTCAGGCGGCACGGGTTCGCATAGTTACAATAATAAAAAAAAAAAAAAAAAAGCAAAGAAAAACTTGGAACATGTCCCCGGCCATCACCGCGAGAAGGTTGGCTATTGCGGGTCAATCAACTAGTGAAGCCACCAGTCTTTATGTAACAAATGCCCGCAGTAGTGAACTTTCCTCACATCGTCCTTTGACGACCTCAACGGTCAAGCCAACGGTCAATTCGTCGTCATTATTAATGTCAGTCTGCACTTCTCTCGTTCTCGTCATGTCCCCCACTTTCGCTTTTCCCTTAGTGCTTCGATTATCAATTGGGAAGACTTTGCTTCACCCTCCGTCATTATATTGTACATTTCCGAGTACCAAGGGTCCCTTAACATTTTCTGTCACCTCTTTGTTGACCTCTCACTAGTCAATGACAACAACAGTTCGCTTGGCACCTCTCTACGGTGTTGTTCGTCTTTATTTTCCATCCTTGGACCGATGACCGGTTTCGTACCCACATATGAGCACTTCGCGCCGCCACCACACGTGTTACTTTTTTGTGACTCTGTCATCCTCACTTGGCTTTTCTTACCTACACCCTGTTATTCAGTGTTCTGTGTCGCTCCTTCCCGAACGCTGTGCGACGTCATAAGTTTCTGTTCCTGTTCACACGTATCGATCAAATTGGAATGACACAGACGATTTGTTAATTTTTTTAACAACTTCAAATCGTTTTTATAGGATACTTCGGAGAGAGAGAGAGAGAGAGAGAGAGAGAGAGAGAGAGAGAGAGAGAAGTTGGGTACTGAGTGCCAAAACTGAAACGACTATCACTGTTGACCACGTAAATGTCACGCAGTAGCGAACTTTTGGGGACACTTTCGTCTCGCATGTGGTTTTCACCGCTTCATAAGCTTGGCCACATTTGACRTGATATTTSTCAACAAATAACGGAAAGAAAGAGACGAATGTCCTCTCTTGTTCCCCTATACTTCGGAAGAAACAACATGACCGTCATGTGGCGACGACAGATAGAAACACTCTCTCTCTCTCTCTGTCTCTCTCTCTCTCTCTCTCTCTCTCTCTCTCTCTCTCTCTCTATCTATCTATCTATCTATCTATCTATCTATCTATCTATCTATCTATCTCTCTCTTAGCAAACATAAAAACTTAGTTTGCATTTGTTTCTTCTACAATATATACTTGTTCAAATAAAAACAGTCCTCACGCTGTTTTACATGCTGCTTCGATCCCCATTGTGGTTTAGAGAAGCGCGGAACAATGTGAACTATGTCTACAATAGTGTCGGTTGAAACGACGCTACTGTGTTGATGTCCATTCAACTTCTCCCATTTCAATTTCTTGCAACCTGTCATGTGTTGCCGTTCACTGTCGACCTCCTTCTACCATTGCACAAATCCGCAGTTGTGTTTCATATTACCGCTGTCCGCGGGTGCGTCCACGACAAAAAACATGGCTACTGATGCAAACCATGTGCATTCGTTGGCTGCTCTAATTGCGACGTCACTGTGCACTGGTCTCCCATGGAACTGTGGTGACGCTCTTGCAGTTTGACCAACTGTGCCCCTGTTTGTTCCGTCCTGTACGCAAGCGATGGCCAGGTGTGTCCGTGTGTGTATAAGCAGGTCGTCAGAAGGAGGTTGACAACACCATGTATGTCGTAAGCGCAGCTCGAAAATCACGTCTGCAAGGAAGCTCTTCGAATATCTTACACGCATGGTTGTCAATGCCTTCTCCCTCGCGTATGTACTCGTCATCGACGTTGAACCACCGCAGTTGCAGTATTGTCGTGTCGCGTAGTGCGAGGGTGTTCATTCCGGTGGCCATATAGTCTGTCACGGACGACTAGTTCTCAACCGTTCTCTTCCTCCGTTTCCTCACGATCCTGATCTCTTCGCGCAACGTCAATGACCGGCGCACATGGTTTACCATCTGGGTTGGAACTTTCCGCTTGTTTGATGACAGGTATGGTTGTTTGCAGAATTTTTTGTGGTGATGCTCCCAAACATCTGTCGCGAAGGTGTCGGGGACACCGGATCACTCAATACATGTTGTCAGATGCATGAGATCGTGCAACTGGGGAAGTTTCCATGTTGATGGTTGATATTTTTCCAATTTTTCTTTGATGGTCGTTACGAAGTCCGTGATCAAAGCGTCGCATTCATCGAGCGAAGCACAAATGTGTGTTGTACATCGAAACACTCGTATGTACATTTCCATCAGTCTCACAAAACAAACGGTAATGCCCTTGCCTGTCGAGCGCGGTATAATATTAGAAATAAGGAACACGCACACTGTCATCACAGACCGGTCTTGCTTCGCCTCGACCGTCCCTCCCTCGAAAAAAAGTCGCTGCCAGTGGCCACCGGCAACACAAGTTGGGGGTATGTTCGCGTGCATCTCTCACTAACGCTTTGCAACCTTGCATCTAGTTCCTTCAGGATCTCTGTTTGCGGTAAGTGCGGCAACTTCTCAAAGGCTGCGGTCCTGAATGCGTCAATCATGTGCAGGAATATGCCGTGCTCGATTATGTGAAACGATTTTTTGTACGACAGTTTTGATTGCGGAAAGGCATGGGTGATTGGCGGGAACGACGCAAAAGGGAGTACGGCGTGCCACGAGAGCGATGCGAGGAGGGATCCTAGGTGGGGTTGGGTGCCATGTGTGATCCCGATTCCATATGGCCGTGTGAGGATGATGATGCGTGATGTCATGGGAAATGTCTGGAGCACGCATTATGTGAATGGCAACTTCTCCATTAGGCACCTCGAAAGGGAGGTCTAAGAAGACGAGAAGAAGGCAATGGCATGTAATACCCACACTGCTGGCTGCTTTTTCCCGCCGCTTCGGAACCCTGTGGACTCGGAGGTGGTTGAAGGGAAAGTTTTCACTGGTGAGGATGACAGCACATACATGCATGCAAGAGGGCAGGAAGCCACGTACGATGGAGTATGCTCGCAGATATGGGACCATGTCACAATGAGGAGTGACGTTCTGTCTGCCATGGACATTGGGGCCCGTGTCATCCCTGAAGGACAGTTGCAGCAACATATGGCCCCTGAAAAGTATGGCTATCGTGTCAATTGGGTCCCAGGTTGTTTGCATCCTGCAGTGGTTGATTGCAAGGTGACGATGGCAGCAAGACTGCAATCAGGGCATTGGCTCCTATTGGGATGGATGCATGCAGGCATTGTGGAGCATTGGCAGTTCCTCGTGGTTCTGACACGTGTCTCAATTTTCAATGTGAATGTAACGGACCATGTCCTGGTGGTTGAACACGCAAAGCGGTGCTGGGAGAAGATAAGGAAGGAGGAGCGTCATATGGTGTGCGCGGGTTATGACTATATGGCTGACCAGGGGATGTGGTCCATGGTTGAGGGGAGTTGTACGGCCCAAGAGCACGGCGACGATGAGAACATATACATGGCTCGCATTCGCCGCAGGCACGGTTGCACGACCATTCTTGGTTGGGTCCCGGTCGTATATCCCATGACATATGAGCATGGTGGAGACGTCACCATGAGATTCAGAGACCCGCTTGGTGTGCCTTTCCATCTGACCTACTCAGATAGACTCCTGCGAGACATTCGGTATCTGCCGGAGGATGGCTTGCCAGGTTCAGCGCAGGCAGGCAAGAGGACAGAGAAGCGCTTAGAAATTTCCCGTTTGTCTGCTGAGGTGGAGGGCCCATGTGGTCCTGGTCGCGTCGGGGGGTGCTCTGCAGCACAGGGTGACATGGGCGGGCCGAGCGATGTCGCGATGTCGCAGAGCCCGGGGAAGAAGAAGAAGTGCACGCCGGGACCGCCACATGGGCAGACGCCCGCAGGTAGAAAGAAGGTGAACCCGAAGGCGGTGCCAGGGACCGGAGACACCGCAGGTGCACGAACTCAGGTCTCCAGACGCCGTCGACGCCTCGGGATGGCAACTTTGTCGGAAATCAGAAAGTTGCAACGATCCACTGACCTTTGCTTGGCTTTCAGGCCGTTCTTGCGTCTCGTGCGCCAGGTTGTGGAGCGGGACATTGCTCCGGGTATGGGCGTGAGGTTTCAGATGACGGCGGTGCGTGCTTTGATGGAGGCTGCCGAGGCGTACTTGGTCGCCAATTTCGAGAACACCAACGAGGTGGCCATCCATTCGAAGAGGGTGACGATCCAGGTCAGAGACATGAGACTGGTGGATAGGTTGTCGAAGCCTCGCTGGGTTGAGAAATATCAAGGTATGTTGGACGAGAAGGCGAGAGCTGAGGAGAGACAGGAACGGATGGACGCCAGACAGACGAAAAGGGATGGCAGCAGAGCAGGGGCGAAGAAGAGGAAAGCAGTGCCACGTTAGGGGGGGTCCGCGAAAAAAAAGGCAGCTTGATAATTCTACTGTGTGTGCTGCATAACGGTTGTCCTGTCGAATCATGGACTCCGTGGAAGTCTTCGTGGTGTTAGGTGGGTTTGAGAGAGAGAGAGAGAGAGAGAGAGAGAGAGAGAGAGAGAGAGAGAGAGATCAGGTTCACTAGTGGGGGACATGAAGGTATTGAAGGACGACTCTGTCGCTGATTTTGGCCCGCAGTAGTGAACCCCATATATA